CTTTTTTACAGCATAGGCTGCAGAGATTAGTCTGCTTGCTAATTTAGATATATGGGGGCCCCACTGAAGCTTTGCGTCGAGAGTGATGCCAAGAAAAACAGTGTGTATCCACTTAACAGGGCTCAATTCCTCCCCATTTAAAACACATTGGTATTCAGATTTTTAACATTCGTTATTGTAAATTTAACACAATTAGGTTTATTTCCGTTCAAATGCAGATTATTAACGTTAAACCAATGCACTAATTTTGATATAGCATTATTCCCTTCGTCACATTTAAATGATTGACGTTTATGTTTAAAAATCAAGAAAGTATCATCAGCAAATAATACTATATCATGACTATCCCTACCTACCTCCTACAAGGTGAGGTAAGTCATTAATATACACCAGAAACAGAAATGGGCAGAGAATCGAGCCCTGAGGGACACCCATTAGTACAAGTGATCCGGAAGAACTTTTACCATTGATAATAACATTCTGCTTTCTATTACTTAAATATGAATAATAAGTTTAAGCGCTGTGTTCTTGACACCATAGTACTGTATCTTCCTGATTTATGTCTCATGGTGAACACAGTCAAAGGCATTGAAAAGTTCACAAAATATACCCAAAGCATCAAAAAATGTGTTTAATATTGTAAAACCGAATTGATTTTTATGTAGCAATTTATTAATATTAAAGAAACTTAACATCTGATCTAAAATAATTTTTTCAAAAATTTTACTAAATGTTGGTAGTACAAAAATTGGTCTAAAATTGGCGGGGTCTAATGTACTACCAGATTTAAATATAGATATGACTTTACTATGTTTCATTAAATCAGGAAACACACCAGATTCGACGCTTATATTAAATAATAGTGTCTAGATATGATGCTAATATATCTATTATAGATAAAATAACTTTAACGGAAATCCCCCATAAGTCTGCCGTTTTCTTAACGTCAATAGTTTTAAAATATTTAACGATATCTTTTGGCAGTACTCTACGGAATTTAAAACTATTTGTACAAGCCTTTACATTTTGTTTGAGCAATGATTCGGTGACAGTAGGAGAAGAATTTAATGATTTTATTGTCAAAAAGGGAACATCAGTATAATGTTTCTCAAAAGCCATAGCAACTTCTTGATCAGATCGCGTTAAATTATCGTTAATATTCAATTGAAAATCCGAGTTGCGCGGTTTGACCTTGCCCGTTTCACTATTTATTATTCTCCAGGTGATTTTAATTTTGTCGGATGCAGTTTTAATGTTGTTGCTTAAATGTAACGCATTAGCAGTGGAGCACACTTTTTTAAATATTTTAGAATATTATGTTTTTACATAATTTCTAAATATAACACTACTATTTTATGATCTTTCATCATAAACCTCGTATAACCTTTGCCTACTTTTATAAATTCCAACTGTCACTTCAATAAATTATTTGCGACTGTTAAAAAAGAAAGTTTTAGAAGTAAATATTCTAGTAAATTCACAACTTATAATTTTAAATAATGTAGCATACAAATAATTAGCACTAGTTTCAAACGACAGTGATGGAAGTCTTTTTATTATATTGCTTCTAAACCTCTCCAAGTGATGTTCATTTATTGGAACAAACACAACTTTCTTATTTTTCTGTTTTTTTGTATATGTAAGGTAGTGATACCAACTGTCCACAGTGATCTAAACTTAAATTTTGAATAATTGATTTATGCAAGGGCTTAACATCTGTAAAAATGTTATCTATACATATCGCACTAGGTCCAGCAATACGTGTTGGTTCTAAGAATAAATTAACAAGATTATATGATTTAAACAATGAGCTAAACTTAATACTAATGGAAAAAGTTTCAAGGAGATTGATGTTAAAGTCTCCACATATTACAACAGACTTGTTCTGTTTACTAAGTTTGAGTAAAAATTCTTCCACAATCCTTTCAAAATAGTCATAAGTAGCACATGGGTGTCTGTAAACACTTACAACAATGAGGTGCTCGAGCTCGACACAAGCCATTTCTACAGGTCGCTCAACAGACATAGAGATCTACATCTACTCTCAATTAAAAATCAAAATGCAGATGCGTTTTAACACTTGAAGACGAAAATGGGATGCTTCGTAGTAAAGGTTTCCGGTTCTCTACACTCACAATACAAAACACAGCAGAATTAACCTGCTATTTAACGCTAGTATTCTGCGAGAATGTGATTCTTTCTCGTTCGAGCCATGCTACATCCATGATATAGCTTCAGTGTATCTACCACTTGAGTTCTTACTTTTATATTTAATTAAAAAAAATATCCAATTTTGTTTCAGACAACTATAAAAACATTTAAGACGATGATAAATTTATTTGGAATTAACACTGAAAATTAAACTCTAATACTAATATGATACTCTTCTTCACGTTTCCGCAGAGTCACGCGAGGATGTAGAGATGATCGTCGGTCAAACGATGAATGCCATCATCACATGGTGCGACGTCACTTTTCCTCATCAGACCGCTAGCTCACGTAGAAAACCGGTTTACTGGTGGACTGCGAAGAAGAAGAAGAAGACAGACATGAACTTAGGTTGCGAAATACTGCGTAGCAGAAGAATGACAAGTACAAAACGGAAAGAAGCGACTCGTTAATGCGATCAAGATGAGCAAAGAGAGATGATGTAAAGCGGTCTGTAGAGAAGTAGATAACGACCTATGGGGAAACCGCTACCGGATCTTCACCCAAAAATTTGTAAGCCGTAGTTCAGTGACTCTCATGGAACCTGATTAGGATGGAAGAAATAGTCCAAACTCTGTTTCCCGAACGCGAAGACCGGGTTTGCACCCAGAGTACGATTTCCAATGAGGAGTGCTCACTTTTCTCGAGAGTCGAGTAAGGAGAAGTATTTTTTTTATTTGCATCAAACATGGTAAATACAGGTGTTAATTACATATACTTGAGACCAAACATGTTTCAACGCTTACATAGAGGCATACAAATATCAAATTTAAGTCTGTGGCTAATTCAGTTACTTATTGTTAAGACCCGATAAATTATTTTCTTAACAACGTACAACATATGTTTGTGTTGTACAAGTTCGAAGCAACAGCGCTAGATGGCGTATTACGATTTCTGTATCGCGATATAATGGTTCACCTGTTTTACATGTAGTGTTGAATGAATTAAAATGGTTGTTACCTAGTCTCACCACTGAGTATTGTGTTTTATTTTTGGGGCATTGTACATTGGTCCTTCGACTGCCGGATTAAGGTTAAAGTGGGGTTGACCTGTACGAAGTCCATCACGGCGCCGAACGGCAGCGTATCGCTGTCAAATGGTGCTTTAGCTGGCCGCAACGGGTACCGGCGCAGGAGCTACAGCGGGGGGAGCAGCCCCTGCGACGTCAACCGAGGCAAGTGGGAGGAAGCCCTCTTGTGCGACATCAACCAGAGGCAGAGCGGCCTGTCTACTGAGGGGAGGAGTTCTCCTGTGGCACCCACCGGATCGCGGCAGGCGCAGAGGGGGAGGAGCACCGCCGGTGTACACCCATGTGTCGTGTGAGTTGTGTGAAGATTAAACCGTGAGTACTATTTTGAACCTTATTATCAAGAAGCTCTAGACTTGTACAGTTTCAAATGTAGTGCATGTGAAGTGAGTAAAAATTAGATGTATTTAGGACTTAGAATATTTTCAACAAAAGTGTACCTACGGGGAATCCACGCCGGTTTTAAGAGCAAATTTTATAAGTTAAAAAGACTTAGAATAATTTGTTACAATCTCAGACTTATAATTTTCGATGTCAATTTATCACTTAGAATAATTTCGTGTAATGTTGGACTTGTAAAGTTTTCGATGTCAAATTAACACTCAGAATAATCTCGTGTATGTCGTCTTGGACTTGTAAAAATCTTTGTCGTTGACAATCAACTTAGAAAAATTTGCGTATCGTCGGACTTTGTAAAATTTTTGGTCTTTTATCTACAGGGACTTGTATTTAATGTTAAGTGAGCGTGTGTATTGAGATATTTCCTCAGTTTGTTTTTTTTTTTGGATATTGCTATTGTTTTTTTTTAATTTATAACTGTAAAATTTACGAAACATGGCTGACAATTATGTAAAGGTTCAAGAGGATATTGCATCAAAAATTAAAAAATCTGAAATAAATTTCAAAAAATCCCCTAAAGAAAGAATAACAAAATCGTATATTGAAACGCGTTCAGAATCTTTAGAAAACAATTGGACTGTGTTTTCGCAAAATCATCGTAAAATTGTATATGAACTTAGGAAAGAGGACTTGGAAAAATCTATTTACCATACAGGGGATATTTATGATCAAACTGAGGAACTTTATTTCGAATATAAGACATTACTAAAGGAAACATTGTTAAGGTATAGTGCTGATAATATTGTAGAACCTGTTAATATAGCTAGCGAAAAACCTTCAGTTAGCTTGCCGAAAATTACATTGCCCAAATTTTCCGGGAGGTACACTGAGTGGGTGAGCTTCCGTGATTTATTCACTTCCTTAGTACACAAGAACCCTGGTATCGATGATGTCCAAAAACTTCATTATCTAAAAAGTAGTGTAACAGGTGAAGCAGAACAATTGTTGCGACATATCCCAATAACGTCGGATAATTATCAAGTCTGCTGGGAACAATTAGAAAGTCGCTACAACAATAAGAGATTTTTGGCTAATAATATTTGGAAGAGGTTAACTAGCCAAAGGGCTTTAGTATCAGAGTCCGCGGGTGCCATTAAACAGTTATTAGATACCACGAAGGAATGCTTACATGTACTAGAAAATATTGGCGTTAAAACTAGTGACTGGGACATAATTATAATTTTTCTCATTACTCAAAAATTGGATCCCGAATCCCGCAAGCAGTGGGAACAAAGGGTTTCCGATTCTGTTCAGGATTTGCCTAGTCTTAATCAATTTGAGGAGTTTTTGCAAAGTAGATTCCGGTCTTTGGAGTTTTTGGATACCAGGGTTCAAAGGGTCGAAAAGGCGAACTGTACTCATGTACATGTACAAAGTAGTGGCAACTTTAGTAGCTTGTGCTTTCTGTACTTTAAATCATAAGTTGTTTAATTGTAAAAAATTCTCTAAAGAAAGTGTCGATGCGCGTCGTGAGTTCGTTCAAACTCATCGTTTATGTTTTAATTGCTTCGGTTCAGATCATTCGGTATATCAGTGTACAGCGTCAACTAGGTGTCGACTCTGTAGAAAAAAACACCACAGCCTACTACATCCCAAAAATCCAAAATCAGCTAGCGATCCTAAGAGTGTCACGGCTGATGAGTCTGTGAAGGAGGCTGAAAGAGTTAAGCCAAATTTACCACTAACCAGTGGTGAGCAATCAATTCCACAAGTAGTCACTTGTGTTTCAAACATGCTCGGGCAAGTCTTATTGGCTACCGCCCTAGTAAAGGTAGAGTGTCCTAAAACGAAATCTACCTTTTTCCTGAGATCTCTTCTAGATCAGGGGTCTCAGGCATCGTTTATAACAGAGTCTGCTGTACAAATGTTGGCACTCAAAAGGACTCCTGGGGCCAGTCTTGTATCAGGTCTTGGCAGTGACCAAGCGACCTTAGCTTCAAAGTCGTTTGTGTTTATAAAAATTCAGTCCCGTCTTGACCCAAGCTTTACAATTACTGTTAAAGCTCATGTACTCAGCAGACTCACAACCTTTCTACCAAGTAGTAAGGTCGTTGTTCAAGTGTTGCCCGCACTTCCGTCGAATATGTTGGCGGATCCTACATTTGATATGCCAAATAAAATCGACTTGCTCCTCGGGGCTGAGGTATATAGCCAGATTCTAATGGAAGGGATAATCAGGGGCCCGTCTAATTCAATGGTTGCTCAACGCACGAGATTGGGCTAGGTCCTATCTGGCAGAATACCCAGCCATAAGGGAGAAGTCACTGGTAGCGAAACGTGCATGAATGTAGTAAGTCTACACACCATGCAAACCAACGAGAACGAAATTCTCAAAAGATTTTGGGAATTGGAGTCCGAACCATCTCTTGGTATGTGCAACCGTTTGTCTCAAGAAGAGCAGAGATGCGAGGAATTCTTTACCAAATCAACAAGGCGTGATGAGACCGGTATGTATGTCGTACGATTACCATTCAAAAGGGAACATCCACTATGTCTACGTGGTAATCTAAAGGATATAGCGAACAAACGTTTTCTGCTTTTGGAAAAGCGTTTATTGAAGGACCCAGAACTTAAAGTCGCATACTCAAAGGTTATAAATGAGTATATAAGTTCTGGCCATATGGAAGCAGTGAGTTCTAACGAACTTGCGAAGAAATCAGTATATCTCCCACATCACGCCGTAGTACGTCATGACAAGACCACAACAAAGGTGCGTATGGTTGTGGACGCATCTTGTACGGATTCAAATGGGGTATCCCTTAATAATGAGTTGATGGTAGGCCCCACACTTCAACCGGAACTTCGTCATATTGTAATGCGATGGCGATGTTACCCTATCGCTCTAGTAGCTGACATCGTCAAGATGTACAGACAAATAAGAGTAGCTGATGAGGACTTAGATTTTCAGCGCATATTTTGGCGCGAAAGTCCAGGTGCTGAACTTCAGCATCTTCGCTTTTTGCGAGTTACCTTTGGCACCTCATCAGCACCTTATTTGGCTGTTCGATGTCTTCAACAACTAGCCCATGACGAAGGTTCCAAAGAGCAATGGCAGACTTTCATACATAAAATTAGTTCAGAAGAAATGGTAGCGTCTATATACCAAAAATATCTTAAAATGTTAAGCGTCAGTCCCTTAATAAATCTGTCAAAGAATTTCGTACTGGGAAGGCGTCAAAAAAAAGATATTTACATTTGAACCTTTTTAGGTTATGTCCTATGTCACTTGGAAAAAGTCATGCTTCCTGTGGTTGTTTGGTTGTGTAAAACCTCTCAATTATGTATTATGTATTAAGCTAACAAGCTTAATACATAATACATAATTGAGAGGTTTTAGATTATTGTATCTCTATTATATATTTGCATACTATAAATGTATATTTCTGGCATGGCTCCAGGGCTTTTGTGTCATAGTGACATTCTCAGAAGGGCTAGAACCCAGAGCCGTAAAGCCAGTAAAAAAAAACAGTGACATTTTATTTTAACTAGTGTTGGCATAACATTAAATGGAATTGTTACATAGTACTATGATTGAGATAATGCATTATTGTAGGAAATTCTTTGTAAGAGACTTATTCTCTGCCATATCACTTTTATTTTTATTATTACTGATAGTACAGTTATTAATAATAATAACTTAATATAAAAATATTTTGTGTGTTGTGTTGGTAGTCTTACAAAGTATATACGAAAATAGTATGAAAATACTAAATGGCAACATTTGAATAGATTAAAATGATTTTAAGTCATTTGATATTCCCAAATATGTTTGTTTTTTTCTGTGGCTTTAATTTAATTAAACAATACATTTTTATTTGAAAAATCATAGAAATATAGTAAAACTCATTTTATATATAACTTATTTCTAGACGCTATAATTATTGTCAACTATTTTTCTGCCATTGCTCTTTCCATTAGCAATGCCGAAGGTGCTGTACGAATTTTATATGGACGACCTGATGTCCGGTTGCTATACAGTAGCCGAAGGCGTTCAGATCTATGATCAGATGACTGCTTTATTGAAACGTGGGGGATTTCCACTTCAGAAGTGGTCTAGTAATAGCGTCGATTTATTGAATAAAATACAGACTGACACCAAGGAGTCCAATAATTCTCTGGTGTTGAAAACAGACGAAGTGATCAAAATTCTCGGCCTGAAATGGAACAGGGACACCGACGAATTCCAGTGTACCGTCGACCTCCCACCGCTCCAAGCTCTCGTTACGAAGCGTATAATGATCTCCGACATTGCTCGACTCTTTGATCCATTGGGTTGGTTGGCGCCAACTGTCATCACAGCGAAGATCTTTATACAGAGGATATGGCTAACTGGAATCAACTGGGATCAAGAACTACCGTCATCCCTACTTCAGGAATGGGTAGAATTCCGCAACGATTTGCCCAATTTAGCTAAGATGCGATTTCCTCGATGGATTCACTCGCATCCAAACGATCAGGTCTGTGAGTTACATGGATTCTCAGACGCATCAAATGCGGCATATGCAGCAGTAGTATATGCGCGCATCGTGGATGCTCAGGGAAAAGTTCACGTAAATCTGATCACTTCTAAAACGAGAGTAGCTCCGATAAAACAAATCTCAATCCCTCGCCTAGAACTCTGCGGTGCGGTTTTGCTGGCGAAACTACTGAATGAAGTATCGGAGGTACTGAAAATACCTAAAGAACATATACACGCTTGGTCCGATTCTTCAATAGTTCTAGCTTGGCTCAGTAGCCATCCCAGTCGATGGAAAACATTCATCGCAAACAGGGTTTCTGAGATACTTTCAGTTATGGATGCAGACCAATGGTCGCATGTGGCCTCAAAGGAGAACCCAGCAGACCCTGCATCGCGAGGCTTAATGCCATCTGAATGTGTGACAAACCAGCTTTGGCATCAAGGCCCTGATTGGTTATGGTTTGACGTAATAAATTACGAAAGGAATATAACGGACACAACCCTAGAAGAGAGGAAACAAAAAATTAAGACCTACATGACGGCAGCAAATAATGAAGAAGATAATTTACTATCGAAATATTCATCCCTGAAAAAACTTACCCGAGTTGTGTCGTTCTGCCGTAGAGTCCTACACTGGAAGGAACCTAAAGAAAAAAGGAAAAAGATTAGTACACAATTAACAGCAAGGGAAATCAATGAATCGTTACTTTCCTGTATCAAGATGTGTCAGCGACGAAGTTTTAGTGAAGACATCGGAGACCTAGAAAGGAAAAGAAAGTTAAAAAAAAAAAGTAAACTTACCTCGTTGAATCCCTTTTTGGACATTTACCAAATTCTTAGAGTTGGTGGAAGACTACAGAGGGTGAACGTCGATAAAGATACGAGACACCCCATCATTCTTCCCCACAAGTCAGCTTTCACAAATTTGATAATCGACGAGGCTCATTCTAAAACGATGCACGGAGGGCCTCAAATCATGCTCAATTATCTTAGAAGTAGATATTGGATAATTGGCGCTAAAAGTCTCGTTCGTCAGTTTGTCCGCAGGTGTGTGACCTGCATCCGCTACTCGGCACAAACAAGCCAGCAGATAATGGGTCAGCTACCATCATCACCCCACACAGACCTTTCCACAAGAGTGGAGTTGATTACGCGGGTCCAATTCAAGTCAGACCTACAAAGGGTTGCGGTTATCGCTCCACAAAGGGCTACATATGCTTATTTGTGTGCATGGCAACGAAAGCCCTACACCTTGAGGTGGTCAGCGACATGACTGCGCAAAGCTTCTTGGCTGCATTCAAAAGATTTGTCGCACGAAGAGGCCATGTCTCTGACTTGTGGAGCGATAACGGCACTAACTTTGTAGGAAGTGCTAAAGAGCTTACAAAATTGTTTTCCGCAGAAAGGTCTGTTGTAGTGGCGGAAATACAGGACTGGATGTCCTCAAATGGTACTAACTGGCACTTTATTCCTCCCCACTCTCCAAACTTTGGAGGGTTGTGGGAGGCAGGTATTAAATCTGCCAAGTACCATCTAAAACGTGTAATTGGAGATAGCACCCTTACTTTTGAAGAGTTGACTACCACGTTGTCTCAGATTGAGGCTTGCCTCAACTCGAAACCCATTTATCAGATATCGAACAACCCTGATGACCCAAATCCACTTACTCCGGGTCACTTTTTAGTAGGCGAACCTCTTGTTCTCGTACCAGACATGAATTACGAAACCTCTAATATTAGTGCCCTGAGTAGGTGGAATTTAACCCAACGCATGGTCCAGGACTTCTGGCGTAGATGGTCCCGAGAGTATCTGACTCAGCTCCATCATCGTTATAAATGGTCGGACCAAGTTCCTGAACCAGACGTGGGAAGTGTAGTATTGGTCAAAGAAGACGATCTCCCACCAGCGAGGTGGTTACTAGGTAAGCACCCAGGGTTGGACGATCTCACGCGCGTAGTAAGCTTAAAATATAAGGGCAATATCATAAAACGACCAGTATCTAAATTAGTATTATTTCCCAAAGATTGTGTTTAAATTTAAGATTTAATTGTCATAAAATAATAACCATTGTCAAGTTTCCTCCTTTGTTTACATTTTTTTTTATAAGAAAGTCTACATGTTCAATCACTACATTTTTATGTAACCATTCATTCATAGACTCAAGTATGCCTTTATTTATTGTTATTTTCTGTATCATTTTTATTGAAAGTTAATTTGAAATAAGAGCCTAATTTTTGTTACCTTTTTCGTTTATAAGTTGCCTAAAATCTAAAAATTGTTAATTATGGACTTAGTCCATGGCGGGCGGAATGTTAAGACCCGATAAATTATTTTCTTAACAACGTACAACATATTATTGTGTTGTACAAGTTCGAAGCAACAGCGCTAGATGGCGTATTATGATTTCTGTATCGCGATATAATGGTTCACCTGTTTTACATGTAGTGTTGAATGAATTAAAATGGTTGTTACCTAGTCTCACCACTGAGTATTGTGTTTTATTTTTGGGGCATTGTACACTTATTAATTACAAAATATTAAAAGATACATTGAAATTAAAATTTATACATAACTACTCATTACATAATTATTAATTATTATTAAATATAATAGAAATATCAGACAATTATTAATTATTACTAAATGGAATAAAATGTCAAAATAATGGTTAATTATTATTAAACGAAATAAAAATGTCCGTGATTTGTGAAAACGTAGTGGTATCATTTGTCAAATTTATAATCTAGGAATTCTTTGACGCTATA